GCCTGGAACTGACATGTGCCCCAGACGTCGGTGGAGACTGGCAGCCAGCTGGTCATACCCTGGATTCCAGGTTCTATCGCAAATGGGTCCAGCGTGGGGCCAGCTCCACATGGCAGCCAGCTTTTCGACCAGATGGTTAAAGGCCTGGTCAGCTCCACTCATACCAGCTTGTCAAAACCCTGGCCACTTAGTGTTTGTAAATGATCCATTAAAACACCAATAATTGTTTGCATTCTGATATTTGTGTACAAAAATGGACGCAACAAGATAAGGAGCCTACTCTTGAGCATCACGCTGCGCTGACAACACCACATCTGCTGCATCGGCGTCCGTGAGATCGTTGACCATCTGTTAGAACTCGTCGACAGCATCCTCGGTGATCTCGTAGTCCTTGACACCGTGCTTGGCTTGATGTTGGGTGTGATGACAGAGCAACCTCGCCGACTTGAGCATTTGAAGACAACCCGTTGAGAAAAGGCTACATTTAGCATCTTGAAAGAAAGCCCTCGAGGACTTGATGAACTTGGAGCTTTAGAGAGCCTTGAAGTTTGAAGAATCTTAACGGCCGACTCGAGCCTTGATGGAAGCCCAAAGAAGAGTAGAGAAGGGAGGTTGTTGAGATTTGAGGATGTCAAGGAGGGCAAGCAGAGGAGGGGGTGAGGAGGGAAGGGCTCGGATTCCAAGATATACGAGGAGAGTGGCTTGATGCACCGATGGGGCCACCGTGAGACGGTGATTTGCTTGAACTTGACGGCAAATCTCATGCTTTGAGGCATCCAGGGTTATCTGGGTTTGAATTGGCTTGAGCAGGGATGAGAGGTAGCATAGGAAAATAGGGAGCGGGATGGCGGAAGCCACAAGATTCCCCGTCATCTTGAGATTTGTCGTACAGACGCAGAGGATGACGTTGCGTGGACTTGAGATATTTCGCCGTCTTCAGACGTGTGGGACTGCAGCTGTGTGCTCTCGAGTCTCGAGACCTTGAGACGGTTGAGGCTGGAGAGAGGGGGAAGTGGGTGGTGGGAGGAGAGTGACGAACCAAATCAAAAGTCACGCCACCCGTTGCTATCTGTCAAACGTCAAACGTTCCGATGCGATCAAAATCGGCGAGACTTTGTGAGTTGAAGCATTTCTCTACTACTGTACCATTTCGACCAAATGTTCAGGTGACGGGTGACAGAGGGTCGTGAACTGAACATTTTTGGCCTAGGTGACGGTGACGGTTCAATTTTGTGGCTTAATTAGGCGAAAAAAACACCCAAATTTTTGGGAACACTTTGCAAAATGAACACCTTAGGTGACAGGTGACACCCAGTGAACATTTGGTCGAAATGGTACAGTAAATCGTCACTTCACGTTCAGCGCGGGAGCCTTGGTTAAGATCTCCCATCCATCGGTGCTCCGGTTGAAAGGAGGGGATACGGGGCATCCGGCATCCTTTGGTTTTCTGATCAAATGTTGACAGGCCGTACTTATGGGATGTTTGCCAAATGGTCTCAAATTATATTATATCCAAGAGCCGGTGGATTACCTCAAGGCAAAAAAATTTCACAAGAGTTATGCCAAATCACTCAGGGAGGTTTTCCTGATGTGGTACCAGCTTCAGCCGATTTGGATCTGACCCCCTAAAAAATACGAAGGTTGGATAGTGAGAGATATGCACGCCAAAGACGCAAGACAAAAAAAAACCATTCCAAGACACCCATAAACAAAAAAGATGTGGTTTACGGCGCTCAAAGACATATGATGCCCAAGACAGCGGTGTAGTTTGATCATGACTGATGAGCCCTCTTCCAGGAGGTACAGGGGTATGGCGGTAGCATAAACACCCAGCTGGCGACTAGCTAATAAGTCGACTGGAATGTCCAGCTGGAAACCAGCTGACCTCCATCTGGAACCAGGAATTATTACAGGTGGATTACATGCAACTGCTCCAGGTAGGGTCAACATGCGGGCACTTTGGCGGTGTAGACCATGCAGACAAGAGCCTGGAGCCGGTCGAAATCTTTCGGGGTTTACCAGCGATGGAATTCCCCTGTTGGACCCACAAACCAGGTGGTTCAACAAAATCCGAATTTTCAATTGCAATCTTCCTGATGCTCGACCGAGGATCGAATCTCGCATCACCACCTTCCAGACCTCGCTCGGACCACTGCGAACTCACCGTGTGGAGCCTGGACCCACAAACGAAGGTTACTTAATTTCGGAGTCTCTGATGAGCCCCGGGCATCGACGGTGTCCGACAGAACGTCGCGTCACCCTTCACAGGATCGCGTGCAGTTTAGACTTTTTGGGCAAGGAACCGGCGAACGTTCCTCGACGTGGTTTTAATACCAAGCAGCTCGAGAGACGGTGCTATCAGAAAGCCAACCACGTTGATAACGAGAAGTTGAACCAAAGAGATATGCAGATAACACCTCGGAACCTAGAACGGGCGAAATTAATTTTCCGGTACGTCGTGCGACGGCCCAGGCCTCAGGGGCGATGGCGAACGTGCATAGCACCGTTCGAAGATGAACGAACGCGTTAATCCACCCGGCTTTCGGGGTCCTACTCAGCTCAAGTTTTTTTTTTGCGAGGAAGATACGTACCACTCGATAACATCAACGCCGACAAAGCTACTTACAGCACCCCCGGCTCGCCAAATTGTTTTGAACGCCGACGTTCGCATTGAATGAACACCGACAACGTACGTTGAACATCACCGCATCCGCAGCTTCTGCTCCGAGTCCAGACCGCACATGCCGCTTCCATCAGCGCGGCGCTGTTTTATTAATGCTCAGAACCTTCAGTGAATCAGATGAAAATCAGTAACTTACGACTGGCACTGCAGTGAGTCACCGCCAAGCCGGTGCGGACCGTACTAACCTGTGAAAATCTGCGCCGACATGAAATCGATTTGTTGGGCGTCCCGCGTTCCGCAACATACTGAGGTTTCCACCTGAATCGAAAAACGAACGGACCGAGAGATTGCAGGCCAAAAGAAATTGAACGAGCGGTTGATCTTTCGTGTTCGAGTTCCTGTTCAACTTGGCGACTTGGCAATAACGAGAAAGAGGTTAAATCCCCCTTACCGTCAGATACCGTCGCACGAAAGCCTATTCCCCCCGCATTGCGCCTCCGCCACCGCCACTGCTACAGCTGTTTTCAGGACGCGGCTTGGCGCGGAGGCCATCTGACACCCCGCTCCGCCCGACGGCGAGAGCAGTTAATGAGAAGGGAAAGGGCTCAGGGTTCACTGACAAAAAATTCCGCAGAGTGGGCACACGACCAGGACCCCAGCGTAAGCGGATCGCCGACGGTGAACGACTCGAAGCCAAAGAAAGGAAGGTTGGAAAGTTGAACATGGTTGAGATCCGTTATCATGATCTGCACCTGAGCAGTGGCGGTGTGGCTGTTGAAATAAAGAATGGAGAGTTTCGATATACGAGTGAGACAGTGCCTGGAGCGTCAACATTGATGAATTTGTCGTCAAGCAATAATTCAAGGGCAGAAGAATAATATTCGAGTGAGAACTGCAGCTCGCGGGAACGGAATGCGGCACAGTATTAATTGATTTCGGAATGTCAGAGAACTTGCCTCGGAGTCTCCTGCGAGCGCTCGCGGTGGGTAGAAATTAATTGCTTCAGTAAAACCGCTATCAGCTTGTTTCGTCAAGGAGAGTAACTGAAAGTCGAGAAAGGTAACTGCAGACCTGATCCAGCCTCAGGAGAATCAATTATTAGTCCTGAACGAAAGGGTTGACCTTGGTCCTATCAGATGTTGAGGAATCGAGACGAAAATCAGAAGGATATCTTGAGTGACTGCACGTCCAAGGCCATGAAATAGAATGTAGGTCAACATCCGACCGAGAGCAGGGCCCGCCAGTCCGATCGGTTCCACATATCAGCGAGAATGAACATCGAGAAGGATACTCCATTTAAGCTTCCTGCACAAGCCGGCCGAATCATTATTCAAGCTAAATTTGAGTGTGTGCACATTGGATTGGAAGTGGCAAGCCTGATCCAGTCGGTGAGTCGGTAAGTCAAACTGCGGAGCTCACTGCCTCGTCATTATGCTTGGAGAGCTGTGAAGATCCTTGGATGATTTGAACCGAAGAATGGGGGGTTCCCTGACTGTTTTGCAGTTGATCAAGATGAAGGTCCGCCCGCTGCCAACCAGCCGTGCATTCCATCCAGGACGAGGCCTTGATTGACTCTTTGCCCGAGTAAGTACTGTACACCGCCGACCCAGAAGTAGTCAATTAGTTGTCGAACTTGCTACTAACTCGGAAGGATTACAAGCACTCTTGGGCCGCCTCGCGAAATGGAGCTGAAGTCGAGCAGTCTGTGACGCGCGCTTTTGGCCACTGAAGCGGAACAAGACGTCGACGGCCCGCTGGCACCCTTTCATGTCGGTCTGAAGCTTTGCCGTCGACAGCACCACACGGACAAGCACTGCGCAAAGCTGTAAATTCACGACAGCGTCCAACCGCTCCAACGTCGAACCCGCTCATTTACATTGTCAGGTGTGTTATAATTAGAGATCCGCCCGGGAAAAGGAAAGAGCATTGAACAGCGTGAAGGCAAATCCGTGGTGGTCCGTCGACGTCAAATGGCTGTGGGTGACCTCGTTGATTTACATCGCAGTACCACTTGGATTCAGAAGGAGAAGGGGTAAAACGATTCCCGCTAGCCGATTTGAACGACTGACCTCGTCATTACTATCTTCTATACATATACGAGTGACGCGCTCTACCAACTGAGCTAAGAGGGATTGTGTTCCACGAAATGCCGATGGTATAGAGTAAAGCTCGCGGGAAAGAAGGGAGCAGGAAATAAAAAAGGGATTCCCGCTAGCCGATTTGAACGACTCGTCACTGCATACTGTAAGATGTTCTTGACGCCCATACTAGTGACACGCTCAGACTAAGAATTGCCTCAACCCTCTGCACTGCGTCCGGAGATCTGAAGTCTATGGAGACCTCGAAGGCTTCAAATGGACGTAGAACAAAAAAGAGATTCCCGCTAGCCGATTTGAACGACTGACCTCGTCATTAAGCATAACATTAGTGTATTTGGATATACTAGTGACGCGCTCTACCAACTGAGCTAAGAGGGAGATGTGAGTAATCAAATCTTTGTTGCTGACTGGCTTGGCCGACGAGAGGCGTGCAACTCGACTAAACAACTTACCGGCACCTTCCGAACCACACCTTCAAAATGGTCCATACGAAACGCAAACGCGGAGGCGCAGATGCAACCTCACTGACCTCCCCACCGAAGAAAAGGACGCGTCGCGTCGCGAAGCAAACCACAATCCCCGTAATCAACGTGGTGCAAGATGATTCAGACATGAGCGACGCCGTCGTTCAGGTCGTCGCACCGCGCAAGGGGCGGAAGCCGAAACCCTCATTGGAAGAGTCCGACTCCTCACCACCCCCGAAGAAGAAGAAGAAGAAGCTGGTGGCAAGCCGAGACTCTGACTCTGACGCGTCGGACGCGGTGGGTTCGTCGCGCAAGCGCCGGATTCAGCGTAAGGTACAGTCAGATTCGGATGAGGAGGATGAAGGGCCGAAACGGCTGCGACGCGTCCGAAAGCCTTCGCCTTCGCCTATGGATGCGGAGAGCGACTCTCCGCCGAAAGGGAGGCTGCGTCGCAAGTCTGATTCCGACGATGGCGTCAAGGCGTCGACGCTATTGGAACTAGACTCCGATGAGGATCCAGAGGATCTTGAGCGTGTGTTGATTCGTTCTCTACTGATCCAAGCCGTGATCATCTTTAGTACCCGTCCAACCGACTTCCTCCAAGCCGACCAAGAAGGATCTCAGGTCGAGCGCACTTGCGCGGTACGCCAAGGCCCGGAAGAACAAGTCCTCGCCTGCACCTGTCCCAGCCGACGCCGGTACCGAAGAGAAAGAGAGGGAGTTCACCCCGTTCTCAGATGCGGAGGAGGGTGGATTGGAGGACGTCGCTGAAGAAGAGGAAGAAGGGGAGGTGGACGACGCAGAAGATACCTTCATCGTCGACGAGGACGATGGAGACGCCGACGCGAACGCCGCTCTTGACCGCATGCGCTACTCGAGCCGCCAACTCGACGAGCATTTTGCCGTGTTCGTCGAGTACATCATCGCGCTCCATTCCGATCCCGACTATCTCTCGACCGCGACCGAGGACGAGAGTAGGTGCCCCATCTCTCTGTTCCAACCCTTCGTTGACCCACTTCATCAAGAGGAATATTTCGACACGGCGGTAAAAGCTATGCGGCGCCACCTCGACCCCCTCGCAGATTCGATGACACTCTCGACGTGGAAGGCGCCGTTCATCGCTACGCTGAACCTGCGGCCCGTCCTGGCAGACGGCCTTGCGACCGAAAGTACGGGTGACTGCCACGCCTGCTGGACCCGCGGCATGTACGCGTGCGATCTCGTCGAGGCGTACACCATCTCTACGCAGAAGGGTATCTACGACCACGACACGTTCGAGGTCCGTATCTCTCCTAGAACGAAAGTCGACGTGTATGTATATTTTTGCGTTTGCAGGCCAAGCCAGAGAAGAAAATCAAGTACGGCAAGGCGACGCAGTTCGAGAACAACGCGGAGGCGCGCAACTTGCCGTACCCGCCCGGCTTCCAGCTCGTCATCGGACAACGGTGTTTTAACCGTGCCTTGGCCTAGTTCGTCCTCCTTCCCAATCCTTTTCGAAATAAACAACTTACGGATGGTACAGCCACGACGTGCGACACTACTTGTACACCTTATCCGTCAAGGTGAAGGAGAAGATCCAGAGCCTATGCGAGGACGACGCGGAGCTCGAGAACGATCCGAATAGGCTGCTCGAAGCTATGAAAGAGGAAAGTTTCATCGAATATGTGAGCATTGCGTGTTCCAAGTCGCTTGTGGACGTCATCTGATTATGCCCTAGCTTTGGGGACGCTTCAAGTCTGATAAAAAGCAGTGGGCGATATGGTCAAACCGGAAAGATCACGATTCGCTGGTGTGATTATTCGATATTCGCTTACTTCTCTCGATATGTTTTCTTGGCTGTGGAACCAATGTGGCTTACCAGTTATCAGGTTCCTGTCCATGTATTGTTCTGAAATATCATGTCAAATAAAGAAGACCTGCTTGTTATGACGTCTGACTTATATTCGCCTCAGATTCCGAACACTCTTGGCCAATGACCGGCAAGATCGAAGCCGATCAGAGGAGGCATCCACGCAACTGGGGTGCCTCCTGTGTGCTTCTTCCTGGAGATTCACAGTCCCGTCACCCGGGATGTTCCGCCGATCGCGTGGGACTGTCCCTTCGCTTAGGACTGGGATTTTTTCGGTTTGATCGGCCCGTGTCGTAACCAAACTGATTCGCACTGCAGCTCCATTTCATACAGGCTCGCTTTCCGCACGTTCGACGCGATCGAGGGCGGCGTCGGTGCCGGCGATGCCCCCGTACTGTTTCACTTCAACCCTGCCGGCCTCGTCGTCGTCCCTCTCGCTCTCTTTCTCGTCTGCAACTTGTTGGTCTGGGCACACTGGTTTTGCTTTGGATCTCGACACCGCAACCCAAATTCGATGCCGAAGGACGTTTCGGACGACGCCGACCCTGCACTTCCCTTTCCCGGTCAATTCGGACCAACTGGGTTTGCAACGCAGCACATTCGACTGTGCGTTGCATTCATCTCTAAGTTATCATTCTGAATTATTCGTACAGGAAGCAACTCAAGAAAACTGAGCTTTCGGACCACTGCAAGACATTCGGCCTCGCATATAGCGGCAACATGGCAACACTTACCGCTCGGTTGGAGGCCTTTAGCAGTGACAGGTCGCGCTGGGACAGGTGTGTAATATACTTTGCCCCCATAGCTTAACTGACTGCTATTGACGACAGCTTAATTCCGGGTTCCACGAACACGCACAAGGGTCCTCGGAAATCCAACGAAGACAGGAAGACTAAGCCGAAGACCTCAGCCATACGTCGCGAGAATTTATTCCAAGGAGCCGATGGTGTCCGTGTCGCAAACGCCCCCGTCACAGAGCGCTCAAAGGATTTGCGAACGGCGAAGGACAAGGAGGCGATAATGCCTTGGGTATGTTATATTTCTTTCTCTGTACGTGTTAACAATTTTACCTTTAGGCTCGGTATATTGTGACAACATATCCGTACCGACCAAATGCCGGGCACTCAGGAACCGGCGCATCCATGTACAATAATTCACCTGTGCATGCCACAGCATCTTCAGCACCTGGGATCAACGCTGCGACTCTGGCTACAGTCCCGGTGCGGTTTTCCTTTCCTAGTACGCCTCGGAGTGAATTACAATAAGTGATGCAGGAACCTGAAAGCACTGCGGTAACCGACAATGGCAATTTGGCTATGCAGCCGCAGTCCGTCCTGCTAGGTACTCGGTCAGAGGCTGCCGCCGTCCCCGATACTGGTGTCGTTATTCCATCCATATCCTGTCCTGTTCCGCCACCCTCAACCGCCCCCTCTGATGGTTTCGTACCCGCAGCCGTCGATTCGCTGATGGTTAGTGCGAGTCCAGACGCGGACGGCAACAATACAGCTTCCACCCGTACGCTGCTGCTTGCGGGAGGCAAGTCTGTGACCTTCAGGGAATGTGACATCCCAGATCCTCCTGCGGTCAGTTACGCCAAGAATTTCGAGGATCTATTGGGTGTGTGGAACGATAAGTTTCCGCAATGGACTGGGACGTCGCCACTCATGATCAAGAACGTTCCCATTCCACTTGTTAACTACCCATCAGTATACAAGTATTGGAAGGGAACTCAATGGCATGGCGTCAAGAAAGTATGGTTTCAATGGAAGGTGGGTATTCAGCTATTCAATGCACCTCCACTGACCTTCGTTTCGGTTAGATTTTGGTCCAAGCCATGTCGCGCACCACCCTCGACGATTTTCGAGCCCAATACTCCGTCCCCGACAAGGATGGTAATCTTCAGCGCCCGAAATACACACCGCTTCTCAGGACGCTCAAGTTGGAACGCGAAGCCGAAGATGAAAAGCTCGCTGCTTTGGCCCTCGTTGAGCTTACTCCCGATCAACTGACATACCGGAAAGGCTCGGAGCGTATTGTGATGAAAAAGCCGGCGATGATTGCTGCTCATTATCGGAAGTTGACGGGTCTTACGGCGGACGATGTAGATGACGAAGAGAATGAATATTAGTTTACTACGTCCGTACAGTTCTTTGTTTGATTCAAATAATTTACAACTCTGCTCTATTCATGGTGTGCACCGATTACTTTTGCCTGGGGCTCCGAGCATGTTATGCGGAAGACCAGGATCATCGGTGTTGTCAGTTTGCTTTCGACTTTCGTGTTCAAACGGATCTTTATTCGTCGGTCTAGGTTTACAATGCTTCCAACAACGAGCTCATCCAGACGAACACTTTGGTCAAGAGTGCCATCATCCAAATCGACGCTACCCCCTTCCGCCAGTGGTACGAGACCCACGTACGCCTTTCCGTTTCGTGTCTTGAGTAAGACATTTGAATAAATAAATTTAGACACAATAACATGTTCGACCACAGGTATAGCATTTCCGAGTCGGCGGCCGGTTTGGATTCATGTAATCCTCCCGCCGTTCAGAAGGCTCATCCACGTAAGAGATCAGATATTTCACGATAGTAAGATTGGTGAATTCCGTGCTCCAGCCGCCCCAATCGCAAATACGAACCAATCCCCATCGGCAAGAGGTGTACAACCACTGGCACCCACCCCGTCGAAACGAGTGAGTACCGTATGGGTAGGGGTCAATGCCGATGTCCAGCAAATTGTTTCGGAACATCTCGAGGAAAAACTCGCTAGTCTAATAATAAACTGTTGTAAGTCAAAAACTCGATCCTCTTGAATGTGAGCGCACCATATGAGAATTTTTATCCGTAGAAACACGATCCCCGGAAGACATTTTGCGAAATAGATAGCCCTCCGTAATCTCAGAGACGCACAACCACTGTGCAAGGGCGCGGATAGGACAAATATGAGCCAAATGTTCCGGAAACAAATGCAGGTAGAAAGGCTTGATGCCTGTCCGATTTTTTTTGAGTGGCGTCAAAAAAATTAGATTAGTAGGAACAAGAACATACCACCGAACTGGTTTGTCT